CCTGGTTCTCCAGGTGGTACGGAGAATGCCTGGTTCTCCAGGTGGTACGGAGAATGCCTGGTTCTCCAGGTGGTACGGAGAATGCCTGGTTCTCCAGGTGGTACGGAGAATGCCTGTGTCACCAGAGGACCACCTCAGGCCCTACTCAGCGCCAGAGACAGCCTTGGACACCTGCCTGTCCAGCTCCCTCATGGACGGCACCACACCCAGGGCAGACTATCCAAGTCCGCTGCTGGTGAGGACAGGAGTTGGTGTATTATTGTACATTTGTCCAAAAGATGTGACGTTATTATCAATTTAAAAATCCAGCACAGCCACACATACACAAGGCTGGAAGCAGCACATTGTTCCCAAAGTGTGGATGTTTCATGGGATGTTATTGTACACTTGTCCCAAAGGATGTTATGTTAAATATGTCGATCTGGCCTTGAGCAAGACACTTGACCCTAATTTGCTCCAGGGGCGCCGTACTACTATGGCTGACCCTGTAAAACAACACATTACACTGGACCTATCATACTACTATGGCTGACCCTGTAAAACAACACATTACACTGGACCTATCATACTACTATGGCTGACCCTGTAAAACAACACATTACACTGGACCTATCATACTACTATGGCTGACCCTGTAAAACAACACATTACACTGCACCTATCATACTACTATGGCTGACCCTGTAAAACAACACATTACACTGGACCTATCATACTACTATGGCTGACCCTGTAAAACAACACATTACACTGGACCTATCATACTACTATGGCTGACCCTGTAAAACAACACATTACACTGGACCTATCATACTACTATGGCTGACCCTGTAAAACAACACATTACACTGCACCTATCATACTACTATGGCTGACCCTGTAAAACAACACATTACACTGGACCTATCATACTACTATGGCTGACCCTGTAAAACAACACATTACACTGGACCTATCATACTACTATGGCTGACCCTGTAAAACAACACATTACACTGGACCTATCATACTACTATGGCTGACCCTGTAAAACAACACATTACACTGGACCTATCATACTACTATGGCTGACCCTGTAAAACAACACATTACACTGGACCTATCATACTACTATGGCTGACCCTGTAAAACAACACATTACACTGGACCTATCATACTACTATGGCTGACCCTGTAAAACAACATTTCACTGGACCTATTATACTACTATGGCTGACCCTGTAAAACAACACATTTCACTGCACCTATCCAGTGTATGTGACATGTTGTTTTGTGAGATGTAACTGTCCATGGCTAAATCAACCATCAGTGAAATGTGTTTACATGTCTGGAGGAATTACTTAAGTTTTAGTTCTCATTTAAAATCCCATATTAGTTAGCTGTTCCTAAATTAGGTCTTCACTTTAATTTAAATATTCATTTTCTTTTTTTCTCTCCAATTCTTAGATTCCTAAAGAATGTTATTTCTTACCCAGACTGCACTACAAATGTCCCAATTGGGGAAAATGAAGATAATGATTTTGCTGGTGGCTGCTTGCTTTGACTGTGTGCAAACCCTAGTTCAAAGCTTGGTCTAAGTCGCTCTGTACAAGTGTCTGTTAAATGACCAAAATATAAACGCAAAATTCTGATTTTGATTTAAAGGTGGAGACAAACAGAAGAAGGCTCACCGTTGTATCGACCTATCAGGCAGCTTCACCTCTCCTGTCAGCTACCAATCAGACCTGGACAGCGCCTCCCTCTCCGGTTGGTCGTCGGCAGCCAGTCAGAACGCGTGACCACAAGCTGCTACGTCACCAAGTGGAATGTGTTGTCTGACCCGGGGACACCGAGGGCTACTACACCACAGAAACAGAACAGTAACTTACAGCCTACCTCAGTAGTTCACAGCCCATTACACCACTGGGGAATTGTGGTAGTTGTCCGTCCCAGCCCACTAAAACATCATAGGGAACTGAGGAGTTCACAGCCCACCAAAACATCATAGGGAACTGAGGAGTTCACAGCCCACCAAAACGTCATAGGGAACTGAGGAGTTCACAGCCCACTACCCCCCCCATACACAGTACAGGAGTTCCCAGTCCCTTTTTACACCCCAGTAGTTCACAGCTAACTACACCGAACAATCAGCCCAGTAGTTACCTCTCCCAGCCCACTACACCTCACAAGCGGCGCACTAGTTCTGAACCCTACACCGTTAGTTTATCGCCCTGGACAACAGTAGGTTCTGACTCTACCTCAGCTGCCATTTTGAGAAGACATTTACATTTTTCCATTTTAGTCATTTAGCAGACGCTCTTAAGGTTAAGTGCCTTGCTCAAGGGCACATCGACAGATTTTTCACCTAGTCGGCTCGGGGATTAGAACCAGCGACTTTTCGTTTACTGGCACAACGCTCTTAACCACTAAGCTACCTGCCGCCCAGAAGAAGCCCAAGCCTCAGGATTATTTGTTCTCTTTTTTTGGATCCCAGGAGCCTGTGGAGGCCTCGGAGGAGGAGGGTTTAATGAGAGCAGCTATATAGGACTCATCTGGCCTCCTCTCAGCTGTCTTCCATCTCTACCTCACAGAGGAACCCCAGAGAGGGACTATCTTCCATAACCTCCTCACAACCTAAACGGAAGAAGTCTGGCATGGGTCTCTGATCTCAGTATTGGTGGATGCAGCCTCACCTCAACCTGTTCCTTTTCAAACCACATGATGATGAATGAAACTATGGCAAGTTATCTTTAACTTTTGGTTTGGTTGAGTGATTTCATGTGTTATGTGCCAGGACTGTGAATTGGCTATTGAGAGATTTCTGGGATATTCTAGAAATCAAGAGAGCATCACTAAGTGAATCTTTTTTTTTGTTGGAAAAAAAATGGCTTTTTCCTATTGCATATCTTGTGTTCAATAATATTGTATTCTCTAGTCCAGCACCTTTTTTAATCTCTGACTGAAGCAGAATGGTTTTGGTTTGGTTGAGCAACTGATTTCATGTGCCAGGACTGAAGTGTGAATTGACGACTGACTTCGGTTATAAGAGATTTCTGGGAAATTCTAAAGCATCACTCAATGTTTTTGTCAAGAAATTGTGTTGCCTCAGGGCTTCCTTTTTGCAAGTCATTGTGTTCATATAGCCCTAGGCCAATACAGGTCTAACCTGACTAAAGCATACATGTAATTTCAAAGAAAGACCAAAGAGATTGATTTCAAAATAGTATTTTTTTTTTTTTAATGTTTTGTCATCCCACACTGGCAGAAAAATAAGTTAATATCTACAAAAGGTACTATTCACAAAGCTTTTGCTTTTTTTGTACATTTTACAAATTTACATTTTTTATGGCCTTTAAAACAAAAATTATATAATGGTGCAAACAATCAGACATTGGCTTTTACAGTTGAACGTTGTAGGGGGATAATCTAACCAGCCTAGCCACCAGTATACATACCCCTCCTCAGCCACTCAACGATAACACTCGTTATACAAAAACTGGGCAAAGTATGTTTTCCGGGTTAACTAACCCCCCCCCCCCCCCCCCCCCCCAAGACAACAACCGTCCTTTTTGAACAACAGTATGTACACCCTATTCTCTTATATAGTGCACAACTTTTGGGAATAGTGTGCCATGTGGTTGGAATGTGAGACAAATCCAGCCACGTCGTAGAACTGTATCCCAAATGGCACACACTTCCCTTTTATAATGCACTACTTTTGACCAGGGCACATAGGGCTCTGGTCAAAAGTAGTACACTATATAGGGTGCCATTTTGGGACATATTTACAAAGTGGCTGGAATGTGAGACAAATCCAAACACGCACCACCATAAAAATAAAAAATAAAACGCTACATCTACAAAAAAAAATATTCAGCTGCCTGTCTTCAGGATTGTGCAAGCCTTCTCACATTTCTGTATGTTTGTTTTTAGCTTAAAAGAAGATATGCTGTATATTGATATGTTTGCTGTAATGAGCCACACTGTGGTAGCCCTATAGAAGTCCCAACAAATGTAATTACGGTATATAGAGAAGCTGTTTTCTGGGTTGAATTCACTAGGAACAAAATAGACTGTCACAGGGATGGGACTACCTGAACGTGCCCAATGACCGCTTGTTTTCTGTTGCAAAACTTTTAGCTACGTTTTTAGCATAAATTGAACTTGAACCTGCAGTATTAAAAGGTGATTGAAACCTAGGCACTGTGGCTCCCGCAGAGGGCTTTGGTCTAGGAGGTATGGTGGTATTTGTTGCGGTATCTTTGGCAGAGGAAGTTCAGAGGGAAGTAAGGGCCATCCGCGTCAGAGCCCAGCGAACTGCTCAGGCTCTCCTCCCCTGAACTCATGTCTTCACACGAGTCCTCACTGGAAGAACAAGAGGAAGAAAAACGTTTGTTAAAATTCACAATGTTCATTTAGTTATCGTTCATCCTGTTTGGTTGACTACAAGACCCATCCCAAGGCATCTTTTTGTTTTGTGGAGGTTTAACTGGTTGTGCAATGTTGTGGTTGAGCAGTTATGGAAACTAGTGTTGGTAGGTAGGACGTGACAGAAGTCACTTACCCACGTACTTCATGTCACGTCAGTGTCGGTGAGTGACACAAGAGAGCCAGAAAGACGAGGATGGGCCTTTTCTGATAGGCTAGGGTAACTGACGCAACAGGCAGGGCTATGACGTGGCTGATGGTATGAAACCCCCCCCCCCCCACTACCATACAAGCCACGGGTTGCATTAAAGGGAAATAATATATCTTCTGAAACCAGGCAGGAGGAGTGGTCATACTCTGAACACAACACTGGAGTGGGATGGGTGGGGCTTAAATTATAGAGTGTGTGGCTGGAGATTTCCCTACTTCTGTTATTCTGGGGATTTTCCAGAGTTTTCCCCCCCCCCCCCCGTTGTCATATTGCAGACTTGTTTGACTGCCGCCTTACAGAATGCACATGTTCTAGTTCCTAGAATGTTTTGTTAGGCATGTTTCTCTTCCTGTTTTACCTTTCGCTCTCGTCCCAGCAGTCCTCAGGGAATGGTTGGCAGTTCAGGGACGCTGCAGTGGCTGGTGTGAAGGTTCTGAGCTGTCCTCCTCGACACGATCCAGACCAGCTTCTTATTGTTGGGTCTGCTACATTCAGGGGAAGAGTAGTCGGACATACACTTGGCCACTAGTCCCCTCCAGTGTAGCAGCTCAACGTCAGCGATCTGTAAAAGACCAGGGCATCATTACATTGGACACCAGGTTACATTAATTGGTCAGCGGAAACCTTTTGGGATGGATTCCAGGCGTTGTAAAATGATAGCGGTCGGGAACTTGAGAGGCCAGGGAATGTGAAAGGGCCCTTTTAATTTTTATTTCCTTCCATAACCGTGTCAGTTGTCATACGAAGCCTATGGTTGCAGGGCATACAATATGCAGAGCTGGTTCCAGGGCAAAATAGGTTTCTTTTTGTGTGTGAATTTGACAGGAAACTTCTCGGGTTACTGTGTTTTAAAACAAATTAAAATCATTGCTTTGCAATAAAGCTTCAAGGAATTTTCTAACAAACAGTGTTATGTGTTTTTACCTTGAGATGTCTCTGAACATGATGGGCTATTTCCAACATATCAACACACTGCGTGGCTTCAATCTCCTGGGTGAGAAGGGACAGGGCCAAGACTGACGGCTGGAAGAGAACAGGAAGAGAAAAAAAATGCATCAAATTAGACTGCAGCTGCCCAGAGGTCTCCTGTAATGTGTAACTGGGCTTATGGACTCTCTGGGGTAAATAATTACTTTAGCTTTGGAGAACGCGATCCGACAGAGACAGGCTTTGAGCTGGGCCTCCAGTGTGTCGAGGTTCAGGGCCTCCTTCCTGTAAAGGCAAAGGGGAAAATACTTATGAGAACCAGTTGGGTGTGAAAGCAAGGTGACACGGGCTACCTGTTTACATAACTGAAGGTGTTATGGTGGGGATAATGTCCAGTGAGGCTCTGCCAATAGTTAACCACTGATGTTCTACTTTCAGTTAGGACTAATAAATCATGTCAACAGTTGCTGAAGTTCATGTCTAGCTGTCCCAAGTTCATTATGTCACCATTGCCATCTTGCAAATGGGGTTGATTGCTAGGTGAATTGTCATATCTTTCATAATGGGTCCTTACCTGTCTGCGGTGTGTGAGCGTGCGATTCCGTGGTATAGGTGCAAAAAGGTTAAGGCTGTGATGGTTTTGAGTTGGAAGTTGAGTTTCTCTGAAATGATCTTCTCCATGCGAGTGAGGTCTGAGACTGTAAACTTGCACTGGCTGATACGAATAAGTTCATTGGTGGAAGACACGTTGCGCTCCTCTTCGACTGCTTTGGCTGCGATGTGGAGGCAGCTAATGCTGATGCAGGCTAGATGTTTGGGTTGGACCTGAAGAGGAGCGACAGCTTGGAATTAGTGGAAATTGGGATAGGATCATTACTCACACCAACTCCTTTTTATCTGTAAACTCAGCAAAAAAAAAGAAACGTCCTCTCACTGTTAACAGCGTTTATTTTCAGCAAACTTAACGTGGAAATATTTGTATGAACATAAGATTCAACAACTGAGACAAACTGAACACGTTCCACAGACTAACAGAAATTGAATAATGTGTCCCTGAACAAAGGGGGGGGGGTCAAAATCAAAAGTCAGTATCTGGTGTGGCAACCAGCTGCAAGTACTGCATCCTCCTCATGGACAGAGGATGTCTTCCTCTTCATGGACTGCACCAGATTTGCCAGTTCTTGCTGTGAGATGTTACCCCTCTCTTCCACCAAGGCACCTGCAAGTTCTCTGACATTTCTGGGGGGAATGGCCCTAGCCCTCACCCTCCGATCCAACAGGTCCCAGACGTGCTGGCCATGGCAGAACACTGACATTCCTGTCTTGCAGGAAATCATGCACAGAACGAGCAGTATGGCTGGTGGCATTGTCATGCAGGATGAGCATGCTGGAAGGGTACCACATGAGGGAGGAGGATGTCTTCCCTGTAACGCACAGCGTTGAGATTGCCTGCAATGACAACAAGCTCAGTCCGATGATGCTGTGACACACCGCCCCAGACCATGACGGACCCTCCACCTCCAAATCGATCCTGCTCCAGAGTACAGGCCTCTGTGTAACGCTCATTCCTTCAACGATAAATGCGAATCCGACCATCACCCCTGGTGAGGCAAAACCGCGACTCGTTAGTGAAGAGCACTTTTTGCCAGTCCTGTCTGGTCCAGCGACGGTGGGTTTGTGCCCATAGGTGACATTGTTGCCGGTGATGTCTGGTGAGGACCTGCCTTACAACAGGCCTACAAGCCCTCAGTCCAGCCTCTCTCTGCCTATTGCGGACAGTCTGAGCACTGATGGAGGGATTGTGCGTTCCTGTTGTAACTCGGGCAGTTGTTGTTGCCATCCTGTACCTGTCCCGCAGGTGTGATGTTCGGATGTACCGATCCTGTGCAGGTGTTGTTACACGTGGTCTGCCACTGCGAGGACGATCAGCTGTCCATCCTGTCTCCCTATAGCGCTGTCTTAGGCGTCTCACAGTACGGACATAGCAATTTATGCCTCCTTGCAGCATGCTTAAGGCACGTTCACGCAGATGAGAAGGGACCCTGGGCATCTTTCTTTTGGTGTTTTTCCAGAGTCAGTAGAAAGGCCTCTTTAGTGTCCTAAGTTTTCATAACTGTGACCTTAATTGCCTACCGTCTGTAAGCTGTTAGTGTCATGACCGTTCCACAGGTGCATGTTCATTAATTGTTTATGGTTCATTGAACAAGCATGGGAAACAGTGTTTTAAACCCTTTACAATTAAGATCTGTGAAGTTATTTGGATTTTTACCAATTATCATTGAAAAGACAGGGTCCTGAAAAAGGGACGTTTCTTTCTTTGCTGAGTTTAGTTCATGTCTAAGCACATTTTGTATTTTTTGTCATTAAAAAAAATGCTAAAACGCATGTCAACCTAATGTTGCAAATTAGCTGTAGAGGATGTTGAAATTACAAAAATGTGCTCCTGATTTGGGTCTTCATCTTACCTTCATCATGGCCAGGAATCTATCCAGCAGGTTGACTGCCAGAACGAATGTCTGTGTACTGTACCCAAAGAAACTAGTCAGGCTCCAGAGGTCCTCCACTTTGGTGTCCCTACATTTAGCGGAGATTCCCCTGCTGTCATTCTGTAATTAATAAGACATCGAGATATAAAATAGAATTACTTTACAGTGTGTAATTGGCGGTTTTTTTTTATGGACCAATTTGTTTTACCATAATATTATTTAGGGGATTCATCAAGATTTTTTTTGAATATCTATCATGTGTACAATATTGTTTTATCTACTGTACTGCATACTACCTCTCCAGTCGATTCGATCAAACTGAGTCCTGTTTCCTTCGGAAGATAATTCCTCTCCTGTTCAAAATTGGCGATCAGCTCCCTCATAAGTTTCACAGTTTCCATGTCTAGACTGGACTCGGTTACAGCAATCTTAATGAAGTCTTTCTCTGTAAAACAAGACGGAGTGTGATGTTAGTAAACGTTTGTCCGCCCTGCATTTGTTCAACCAGGCAATAGGGTCACGGTTTGCCCAACCCTGGCTTCAGCTGGGATTCGGTGTCAGATTTCTTAGCTTAACGCCTACTTAATCAGAACACATAAACTAATCCTAATTGGGATTTTCAGTGCAAAATCGTAAATATGATCACATATATCGTGAGATACTCGCACACAGTCAAACAGACACTAGATCAAAAACATTCCCTTGACTCCATTAGCTATGCTTCAAATCGTCGACGGGCTGGGGAGGGGGGTTGAATTCTTGTTCTTGCCTAGGAAGCAGTGCATTCGCTGGCAATCATAATTTTTTTCATAGAGCTCGACGTTAACTTCACATCAAATTTGTCCGATAAAAAACGGTTTGCAGCTACTGGTCGGTTGTGTAAAATACTTGTTTTCGTGTAAAATCTCGGTTGCGCGAGCCAACGACAACGTTAAACAGAGACTATAAATAAAGCCAAAGGACAAGATACTGTAGCTAGCTAACAAATAACCAGATGAAGTAAGATTTCCAATTTAATCGACCACAATGAAAGGCAAGACCAAACAGATTAGTATAGTTTTAAAAGCATATAAGCTTGATATTTAAAAAAAAGAACGTTAATCGTTCAGGAAGCAATTGATTGAACTGGAATGGCTAAAATAAGGTTTTACAACACCGGCAATATTCACAATTACCTAATCTATTCAATGTCCTTGCATCTGCAATGTTAAAACTGTTTTATAATTACCTGTAATGTTAGTTACATCGAGATTTTCTACGGGCCCAACCTCTTCTGTTTGTTGTTCCTCTTCTCTCCTGTAGCTATCTTTTCTTTTTGTTGTTGAGAATTTCCACACCCAGAAACTGACGTCAATGTCACGGGAGCCAATCACGTACGGTATCCACCTTGGCTTGATTTATCGAGTAAGGTCTGCCTCCTTTGTCGTTTACTATAAAGTACTGATTTATAAATATTAAACCAAAAAAGAGTTGGTAGTCCTAGACAAATAAATGCTGTAATATTTAACGTTGTTAAACGTTACTTATGGTTTTTTAAAATAGTTTAGTATGCTGTGTTCATATTCTAGACCAGCTCGATACTGACACTTCCACGGGCCAATCATCTTTCTCCTTTTTTGTCCGTTCAAATCGTCCGCCCAAAATTCTTCATTTCTATTGGATGCCTGGACAAACCCTTTTACTGACGAGTGGTTTGAAATAATTAGCCCTAATTGTACATAGACCATAAAAAAATTAACTACCAGATTATATTCGATTTTTTTCTGGTCCAACTGTCAACAGAATATTTTGGCATTGGTTCAGTGCTGACTAGAGGAATTCATGAGAGAACTGTTATAGTCAAGACAATTGGAAATAATGTATTACTGTTCCTGCACATCACACAATAACCTAAGCACTTGAGGTGGTTTTATGAAGCAAATTCAATCATTCAAAGAAAAGAAAATAGGTATACATGCATTTAGGGGTAGAGCATTGGCAGTAAATTATATTCCAGGTAGAGCACGGCGCTTGTAACGCCAAGGTAGTGGGTTCGATCCCCGGGACCACCCATACACAAAAAAATTTATGCACGCATGACTGTAAGTCGCTTTGGATAAAAGCGTCTGCTAAATGGCATATTATATTATTATTATTATTATATATATTATATATTATATATTATATTATATATAGTATATATGATTATTGTCAAGAAGAAGGCACAAGTACAGCATGTCTGTTTTGATTTGTATATTAGACTGTATATTTGTGCCCTATGCACAGTTTTATCACACAGTGGTTTATTTATACAAATATTGTGGCTGGCAAAGGGTCAACTAAACATCTAAAACCTATTGTAATAGGATTCATTCCCAATAGAAAAATATACCTACCACACATCGAATACAATGGAAAACAAATGTAATGCCATAACTTAAATCCATCATGTCTTTATAATTAACCATAATACATCAATAAAATATAACATGTATCCCAAAAATTGATACAATATTCATTTTCAGCACTAGCTGTATGAGGGTGGGCGGGTTAAGATATGTTTCTTGCTTTGCTCTTAGGAACTGGGCACCATTTTTAAAGGAGTGATTTCTGGGGTAGCGTTAAGTGTAGAGGTGACGCCGTCTGGTGCGATGCAGACCCGGTGGTGAAACAGAGGAGTCACTGACGGGCCTTTTTGAGTCAGTCTTTTCCCAACAAAGTAATGTTAGGATATATCATTTTATCCTGTTAGAGCTTTTGTGTCAGGTGCAACATTTTATGGTCATGTTGCAGCAGTGCGTAGGAGGGAGATTCCAAGATGTGGGAAAGTGTGCAGGAGGGCATGGGATAGAGGATTGTGTAGTTTCGGTGGATAAAGTTGTGTGTGTCATCTGTTGGGTTGCTCATGTTGCTGGGGATTGGAAGTGTCCGGTGCGAGACACGCAGGTTGAGGTGGATAGAGTCAGAGTAGTGCAGAAGGTGTCGCATGCTGAGGCAGTGAAGGGTGAGAGGATCCTGAGAGGATCGCTGTGAGTAGTAGATCTGTGCCGTCACAGAGGGATAGGCCAACGAGTGATATATGCTTCAGTAAGGTTGGCTTCTTAGCGTTCATAGCAATGGTTATCAACTGTACCGCAGAAATTGAACATAATTCACAGAAAATAGATGTTGTGGTGGCAGCTGCAGAGAAGTATTTGGGTATACGAGATTTGACTTCAGAAGAGTTACAGGGTGTGTTGAGTGGTGGTGACCCGTCCTCCCAGGCCATTGGCATAGCAGGTTTTTAATGAGTGTAGGGGTAGTTGGAAGGGTGTTTATTTATTTTTGTATTAGTTTTGTTTTAGTTTTTACCCTTTTCTCATTTTGTATCACAAAATAATGGATTTATATTATAATCCAGCTGGGGGCGGTAATGCAACATTGGATGCCAACTGCGGGAAAAATAAAAAGTAGAAGAAGAGAAGTGGGCGGAGGGGCGATTTCTCTCACAAGAGTCCACAGCCCTCCTCGGATGTGTAGACCTAAGTCTATTCCGTTCAAAACATTTTTTATATACATTTCATTTGGAAGACCCCCATTTCCCCCCAAAATAAAACGCAACATGGAATCGAAGATGGAGTAACTTAAGACCCTATTTACCTCTGTTTAATGGACTGGATGATTTCCAAGTCAAACTGTGATTCCCACAGCTTTGCAGGGGAGGTAAGCTAATCCTAGCTAGCTAACTAGCATAAAGTAGTTCGCTCGCTATTTTGCATATATCTTTCTAGCCATAACGTCATGTATTCATTAAAACGATATATTGGATAATGGACGTAGTCTATTAATGAAACGTTTCCTTATTAGCTAGCTAACGTTTACGATCGGATAGTGTTTGTTTCTGTTCTCGTTAGTTCGGTAGGTAGCTAACTAGCTAACACGTCAGCCACTGTAACTGGCTAACAAACGTTAGCATAACTAGCTAGTGTTATCTAGTTAATGTCGCACACCGTAATATTAGCCTGAATCAGATGGTCATACGTCTTACTATATCCGAGTGTGAACGATGGCTAGATGTGTCCATGTTCTATTTAACTAGTAAGCTAACTAACGCTTCTGGCTTGTTAATTAGCTAAACGACGAGACAATGCCTCATCACTGTTGTCACTAAAGACCAGCGTTTCACTGGTTGGGACAATGAATGAAGTGTATTTGGTGGGGAGCAGTGTCAGTCACCCAGGTTACCAGTGTCAGTCACCCAGGTTACCAGTGTCAGTCACCCAGGTTACCAGTGTCAGTCACCCAGGTTACCATGACTGGAAGTCGCTTTGGATAAAAGCGTCTGTTAAATGGCATATTATTATATTATTACCAGACATTCACTTCCTTACGCAGGGCTCTACGCGAACCTTTTTACACAAGGAGCATGTACGCGCCTTAGTTGAAAAATGTAGGCGAACACGAATTTTATGAGCACAATGAAAAAAATATTTGAGGTAACAATGTTTTCTTTTGTATTAACGGTGCAAGCATGACGGTCATGAATCTGCGCTCAGCGTATTCTCCATGTCACTCAGTACAGTACAGTTAAGTAATCATTGCATCAATGGTCATCTGGGATTTATTTTTATTTTTTTAAATTATATTTTAGGCGCGTTGGTGCTCCCAACAAAAAAATTCATTTCGCACAGCAAAATATTTAGGCAGATATGCGATTAAAATGGTGTAGGTGCAATTACCAATGTTTTGTGAGCAACAATGATGGAATCTACGGTTAGACTTCAAAATAAAAAATCCCCCATTGAAACTGATGCAGACGTATAAAAACAGTGTAATCATACCACAATTGGACTAGATTACGCTAAACAAGGTTGTAATGTTAAATGAACAAAATACAATAATTGGTTAATTTGACACAAAAGTAAAGATCTGTTGAAATCCCACTGTAGATGTATAGACTTCAGGGTTGCATACTTATATTACAATGTATATGTTTACCTATGGATCTAGGGTCCATTTAAATGGGGTATCAGCCTACACGGTGACACTCACAGAACACAACTGTTTAGAGTTTTCACAAATATTAGCATCGTAGTGCTTATTGCGGAACTCTGAAAACACTGAAATTACCAACATTAAGCTCACCAGTCAACCCTACTGTATGTGTATTGCAGGCTGAGTCCAATTAGTCGACTAGACGATTGTTTGGTCGAGCAAGATTGATTTTTGTCGAGCAGTGGCAAATGTATATAATCCATTGCGGAGGCCGCGGGGACGGCTCGGTCCAAGAAGAAGGGGTGTGTGGCTAAGATGCATAGTTCACGCCTCTCTCCTGCCAATCTGTGCACATTCATTGTTTCATAACTTAATTGTTTGCGTTTGATTGTTAGTGTATCAATTCCCCAATACATATATCACCAGTAGTACATTTACTGTTTAATTC